TTCATTTAAGGTAGATCGCGGGTTTACTCTCTGCCTGAAAACATAGGCTAAAAATTTGTCAGCTAACTCCTCTCGTTTTAAATTTTACTTTCTGAATTTTTTTTTAAATTCGTCTGCGTGGTTAGATAGTAATCGTTATTCAAATGCGCTAATGTTGATGTGAACAGATGACACTTTTTCTATGAAATATATAGTAAATTGTCCCTTGTCTGCCGGTATACGCATTTCAACACCATAATCATAACATTAAAACGAAGCATACGAATTTTATATTACTCGATACAATGAATGTGAAGTAAATTAAGAATCGATTTATTAAAAAAATTAATATGTGTTCTCGTTCAATTTCTTGCAAAAAAACTTTGAAGTTTTTCAAATTTTCACCAGGAGTATTATATTTTCATCACGACGTTATATTACGTTGGTGCGACGTCATTATTTTCGAATGCCTGCATGACTCGTAAAAAAATGAATTCATCTACAATTCACTCAAAATAAAGCATGCAATCCGTGAATTCAATTTCCCAATTAATCATTGCCATAGTTAACCAACAGCATGGCACTATTTAAATGTAATGTGGTTTCTTTTTCGCGCGATAAACGTAAGGCTAGGGGTTCAGAAAAATTATAACAAATGTACATGGAGCTCCGTGGGGATCCGGGTTAGAATAGGTCCTCAGTACCCCCATGCTTGTCGTAAAAGGCGACTAAATGGGGCGGTCCTTCGGATGAGACCGTGTAAACCGAGGTCCCTTGTCACAGCAGGTGTGGCACGAAAAAGATCCCTCCCTGCTCAAAGGCCGTTAGTGCCGAGCATAGGACTAAATTTGCAGCTCTTTACCGGCAATGGTGACGTCTCCATATCAGTGAAATATTCTGGAGAGGGACGTTAAACAGTATACAATCAATCAATCAATCAAATGTACATGGATGTAAGAGAAAACATCTTACCGGATTTGAGAACATTTTTAAACATATAATTTTTTTGCATCATTTTCGTTACTTAATAAAACCTACATGTACCCGATCGGAAATATTGCAGTTGAATTAAAGTAGCTTTATGACCTACATTGTATAGATTTATATTTTATTGAATGAATTAATTGTGTCTATACTTGAATTAACAGATTTCATTTTTCACTTCAAAATATCGTAAAGGCCATTTCTTATCAATACTTTGCCGATATATAGAATACTATAGTAAGTATACAGTATACTATAGAAAGGTATTAATACTATAAATAACATTACTACTATATATGGTCGTGTCCCCTCAATTAAAACGCCTGATACCCCTTCCTTTTTATGCTTGTCAAGTAATTTTTGGTTGAAAATATATACTATAGTAGCTGTGGCCCTAACTGAGATTGCTTCCTTATACAACTCTTGTATAATATAATTGTATAATAATCTTGTACGCCTGTAACTCTTGTATTGACCCCCCCCCCCCAAAAAAACAAACAAACAAACAAACAAACAAAAACAAAAACAATTGCAGTTGTAAGCCAAATCGCTATTGATTGTCAATAATAAAATGGTCTTAGATGACAATTTACAGGACGTATTTTATTTGGTGATGTTACTTAAATCATAAACGTCTCTCCTGTTGATAATTATCTAATTTACCACCACCTCCTCCCGCCCCGACCCAAAAGAAAAAAAATCTTCAGTATCTTCAGTAAGAGAATTCATAGTTGATAGTTCATTAAGCATAGTTGATAGTTCATTAAGCATAGTTGATAGTTCATTAAGCATATTGACGTACCATATATTGAAAATTTTATACCTGTACAATGTATTTGGCTCAGACAATATTGTTGCGCATAAATATTACCAATCTAGGCGTACATCATCACGAAAAAATAGATAACTTGTCAGGTTAGATGAGTTAGAGATGATTGTAAAACAAATTAAAATAAAGTAGATTAGAATGCAGACTAAATTAAACAAACAAAACAAATTTCATAAAAGTGAACAAAAAAAACCTGCGGTGGATCTGATTTTGTATTGTATAATATTTTTAGAAAGGTTCGCACACACAACAGATATTGGCGTTAAAAACTTCTTATAATGTAAATGACAACCTTGATCAAAACATCATTTATTATCAATTACATATAAAAAATATTTCAAATACACCAAACAAAATTTAATATGTGTTTCACTTTTTACTGTATACAGTACTGCTGAAGATATTTTTTGCTTGCTAATCTGAACGCGGTAAGCTTTTTGCGTCAAATCCCATTGTGACGTCAGCAAACCCGCGATCTACCTTAACGTAACGTTAAAATCAGTAACGTCGTGATGACGTCGTTACGTCAAAAGTTGTTATTATTGAATAAAATGTACCATTTTCCCAAATCTCTGGCGAAAAAAACGGTATGAGATAATTCCAAAAAATAAAACGATTTTGAAAGGACACATCGTGGGCATGTTTGTAAAAAAATTCAATCAGATTTAGAGACAGGGCCGCCTCGTTATACATACCATACCCAGTTCTTTATGGTCTAGTCTTGTTTTTTCTCAATCTAATCTTGAATGGGGAAATGGGGAAATTTGTCAAGGTCAAATAATTTGATGTAGTATATTTATAATGGCTTTACTTGTACATAGGACCAAGTTTCAAATCCTAATGTCGAGAAAGGTCTCAAGTTATGTCTTAGGATATATTTTCATTTGAAAATTTAACCTAAATAATTGGATCAATTTTTCTACGACTCGCCTATAAGTCGGACACTGAGCTTTGTACCAACATTAAACTTCCAAAACACCGACCTTTTGGCGAGTATATACGGTACTTCTCTATTTGCTACAAGCGTATCTAATTCTTTGTTTTATTTTTATTACTAACAGACGTATTTGCTTAGATACATGTACATGCATTGGTCATGTTAAACTTTGTTAGTAGCTTATTTTTTTTTTACAAACATTTATTTCAAATTCAGATACTGTCTTATTTCTCAGCTTCTTTAAAGAATGATCACGAGGAATACTGCCGCCTTAATCACAAGTTTATACCTCAAGTAACACTTTAAACATGCAGTTTACTCATTTTTTAAATAACAAATTTTAGAAGACGGAGGATAGCATAGCCTCAAATAACACTTTTGCGTTGCAACTTTGATTAACTTTAACGGAATATTTCAAACTTAGACTTACCATGGGTTGTAAAAACCTTTGAACTTTGATTTACTATAGAGAAACCTTTGGAATTTTGATTTACTATATAAAAAACTTTGCATTGGAACTTTGATGTAGTTATGTTTTTGATTCTCGTTCTATACATTTTATAATAATTATTACAAATTTAAGATTTATAAAAGATTTTAAAAAAAACAAAACAACAAAGACTCATCACGTACAAGAATGATACATAAAATATGATTATTAATTATAATGTAATGTTGACTTTTTGTATCGATAGATGCGCAATATTTCTTTTAATCTATTAGAAATTTAATATTATGAATATGTAAATTTAGTTTCAAATATCCAGAGAAAAAAATATTCTACAAAAAAGTTTTGCATCATTTAGAATTTAACAAAAATGTCTCATCAACTTTAGTCCACATGGATTTTTTTTTATCTTATAAATGTAAATACATGTATTGCATTTTGATAAACTACGTTTAAAGTATATTTAAATCAAAATTTACAACAAAAATTAGCCACAAACAATCGTATAACTTGTTACGATGTAATTTTTCATATGGGGAATCCCAAATTCTAGAGGAATTCGATGAAGTGGGTCATTAGCATGCAGCGAAATAGGTACATGTGCCCCGCTGTTATTCACCTTTTTCAACAGTGATAGCACCAAACAGATTTGTAAGATCGGAACGATATTTTTACGTTTTCAATAGATTTTATTTAATGAATTACAAAAAAGAGGAGTGAAAATAATTTCGCTTTTGTGATAATGTATGGTGAAGTGCAAAAATACCTTCGCGTTTGTAAAAATTTACGGTGAAATTTGGAGCTCAATAGGGACTATTGCACCTCAGACGACTTTGTGTTAACTTCAAATTTATTTAATTGCATGTTTCAATTCAAGCAGAACGCTTCCTTTTGTTGTCATTTAGTGTATACTGTTCTGTTCTCTCCCTTGCCTGCGATCGACGTTCAATATACATATATGTAGGTCACGATCTCTGCTGTAGCCAGTTGTTTACATTTTACCCTAGCTGAAATAGTTCAGAGCGTAGGGATACTTTATATCTTATTACCACTCAGGAACTTGTATTTAGTATTTGTAAATCCATACAAACGCTACTTATTGCTTGGAAATTAAACTGAATACATTGTAGATCTTGTTTTGTGACTGAAATTCTGATTTCAATACATGCATAATCAGAGGAATTAACCTTTTAATATTTCCAATCATTCTTGCAAGTGATATTGTTTACATGTTAGCAACATATCTCTGATTTGATCCTTGCCTTCGAAGGTTTCATATTTTAACAACAAGATTACCGAATTGTCCCAAAGAGCGAAGATCAAGAAGAAAATGCAAATGGTAGTGATCAGAGGTGTCCGCTATGCGACACCGCCATTAAGCTATATAGAACAGCTATCGAGGCCGACTTACGTCACCTCGAAAAAACGATAAATCTACGAAACTGATTAAAACAATCTTTGAAAGCTTGATAAAGTATAGTTAAATCTTTGAGAATGTGATTTACAATAGCTATTGAAAAAACTTTGAAATTTTGTTTAAATATAAAAAGCAATTGAACATTTGATAAACTATAGTAAAAACTTCGGAACTTTGATTTACAAGGCTAACTATAGTAAACTATAGCTTACTATAATTATGGTTTATTATTGTATTTTTTGTTAGGGACTTAAGGATTTTACAAGTCCTTTAAAAAATCCTGCTAAAAATAACTAATAATATTTAATTAAGAAAAGGAAAACAAAACTAGTTCCTATGACAAATGTGGGGTATCTGTATTTTTACTTCTCTTTCTCATGCTTTGCATCCATAATTTCAGACTCACTACTATCAATACTATCGCGGTCATCATCTTGTATGACAACATCCTCATTATCCGCTGGATCTTCACTATCCGCTGAATCTCCATTGACGACCGTTTTTGGTATCTCTATAGTTCCTGAAATAGAATGTTTTTATCCATTTTATCTCGAAAGAACTTCATTTTTTAAATTACATTTTAGATAAATGTGAAGTACTTTACTTAAGCCATATAATGATTTAATAACAAGAACATACTTTTGTATTTTATTTACAAGTTTTCCTACACAAATATACTCAGTAGTAAAAAAAATATTAGACTCAACGCTTCAATTTTGAAGTTGTACAAAAAGAGGAAAATTTTAAATAAATATGAAATTGTTTAGGTGAATAACTTCGTCTGTTGCCAGCAGTGAACGTTCACTTTCAGGAACACCAAAATTACCATTTACATCATCTTCAGCAGTGCCCTCAATGTCTCCAGGCTTTTGTGTATCATTAACTCTCGATCCTAGTTAAAAAGTGGCATGTTATTTAGTGGAAAGTTAGTAAAACATTTTTTCCTTAAGATGGTTTATTTGGCTTTATATGGTTTATTTCAGGGCCCATCGGTCAGCGGTTTTTGGGTGTACATAGTCTGAAAATTTATTAATGCCTTGAAATCTGCTCTTTGGTATTAATCAATCATTAATTATCTAATTATGATATAAAATTTATAAATTTTCCTAAAGAATGAGTGCACTTAAGGTAAGATTCTTCTCTGGTTTCTGACTAGATGAAACATTAAAAGTATATTTGCTTACATGGCTTATATATTGAGGTGAAAGGAATTTGAAAGACCATATTTTTCTTTCCTCATCACAGTTGTACAACTTTAGATAGAAATGGTCAACTGCGTTTGAAAACTAGCAGGGACAATATTTTTGGCGGAATGGTGGCGTATAAAAATATCTTCTTTTCTGCCCCTCAAAATTATAATAGAACAATGAATTTAGTTATAATTTTTACACAATCGAAGACTTGGAGAAATTTTGAAATGTAAGTTAGATTAATAATGAGGGACTAAACTTTCAAAATATATCAAATAAATATGATTTTTCAAACAAACTAGAACTTTATTAGCTTTTAAACACTTGCTATCAAAGTGCAGATTTGAGCCAAAAATCCATAAAAAGTATTTTTTCTCTCTCAATAAACGATCAAAATTTTTGTTTTTGTATCATTTTGTACATTTATAAGACTACTTTATCATATGTGAAAATAAGAAAAAGTTAAATATAGGAAACACATGAAAATAACTAATATATCCTTAAGAATTAAGAAAAACAGAGAAAATTCGGATTATCCAATATCCAGTTAAGTTAAATTATTTATGTAAATTTGGTAATATGATGCTATAGACCCGATATAGTAATATGTTTTTATGCAAAAAGAACAAACATTTAACTTTTGAAATAGAAGTAGGTATCACGTGATTGGCAACAATTATTTTTTATTCTTAATGTCAAGGAAAAAGATAATACCTTGACCTGACCTTGCCTCTAATATAATACGGTCAAATCTAATTTCACTGATACTATCACTTAGTGATATTGTCTTCTTGATTCTGTGAAAATTTCATTGATTTTTAAATATTAGAAATATGAGAAGAATCCTACCTTAAGTAGGTCATTTGAAACCTTTTCGGCTACCCATTTTAAGCTTAACATTACAATATATCGCTAAATTAATCTATGATTAATGTGCAAGCATATGCTTTTGATATTTATTTCTAGAATTTTTTGTCAAACATATTTCTATAATTACAGATAATGTAATTTAAAAGAACATGTAAAAGCCTAAATTCCGGAAATTTGAACGGGACCACTTTCGAATCTAAGGTATCTGCAAATAGGCGGAGACATTTAAACCGCATGGTTGTGGAATGTAAACATAAGCACATATGATTTTTTCGCATTGCGAATTGAATTGGAGAAGAGAGAGAGATCGTGTTGATTTCATGGTGCACAATTATTAAATGATTCTAATGTTAAGGCATGGGGTAAATGTCTCGATGTGCAGACCATAATACAGAGGCGACATAAGCCTATACATGTACTTACTAATGACACGGTCAATACCAGAATTCTTTCAAAATCCCCCTAATGAAAAGCATAAAGATAAATAAGAGACATATTATCTTCAAACCCTATTAAAATTTGCGCAAAAATATCCCATAGTTTGAAGTTGGGAGTACGATAGATAATGTCACAACAGAGACTTAAACACAATGAACTTTTCAATGAAAGCGTTGGCGTATCGAACATCAGAATGTTACGTGAGTAAAGTGATTATAATATCAATCGATGACACTCAGGGACCTGTTGATTTAGTGGCAAACTTGACGGTAGTTTGGGGACTTTTTCAAAAAATTAGATATGGGCCGCAACTTGGCCAACATTGTCCTTTGGATATGTATAAGTTTAAGTTAAAATACATATTCTGTGCAAATAAGAAAAATGGCCAAGTTGCGGCTCGATGTAAACAAAGTCGTTGAAAACTGGTATGCATATGAATAACAATAGAAATGAGACAAAACTGTTAGACCCCCGTCTCAAAAGCTAGTGTCGTTCGGCATTATTTAATACTTTCATGTAATATAATATACCAAAACCTGCTCTTAAGACATTGTTTAATACCTATAAAACATAAATTTAATGAATTTTGGAATTTTATTTAGCGCAAAACATCGGGATCCAACTCTCATAGCTTAAGTGCACTCATTCTTTTCAAATATGTTGTTACTGTTGGGTGATGTGCACAATTGGTATATAGTGGAAATGCATTTTCTCTTTGTTATTCTGATCTATTCTGATCTATTAAAAGTAAACAAGTAAGTATGCTAAGAGTATAGTTATGTTAAGTAATGGCGCTTCTTTTAAAATTGTGAATTTAATGGTCTCTGGTTAAAAAAAACAAACCAAATTCAATACTTGGAAACTTGTTACATGATACTCAGGTGGCCTTTAAGGCCCGTCGGCCACTTGTTTTTATACTGGGGAGAAAACAAGCTTTTTAAAGAATGAATGCAAATCATTCCACCTTTAATATTAAAAATTTTAGAATTTACCCGAGAACTATTATAATTGACATGGGAGGCCTCTTGTAATTACAATATATGACTTTTTTATGTTTATAATTTTATGTCACAATGTAATGTTAATAAAAGGAATCACGTTTGAATTTGTTGGGTATGCCAGGGACAAAGATGGCAGTTGCGTGGGCGACAGTTGGAAACGAGGGAAAATTTATGTATAATGGACTTCATCTGTTATGCACATTATCCCATGTTTCGAACTATCGTTGATGCTCTAGCATACTCAACAGATTAAAATGCAATTCCATAACATGCATATGAATCGAAGCTCTAAATATACTGCACACTAAAGAGCTCTATTGATGGGTAAGAATGATCTACCTATGCTGATCTTGTCAGCAAATAATCAAAATTATCTCTGAGTCAAATGCTGAGTGACGTTTTTCTTAATAATTTGTTAGTCCATTATATATACACTAAATTGACTATGGATTTTTTCTGTTATTTCCCTGATATTGACCAGTAGCACACGGTGGATGTGACCGGTTGGAAGGGGCTGTTCACTCCTCAATGTCACCTGATCCCACCTCTGATGTTTCAGAGGTCAGTGTTTGATCTGCTCCTATTTTGTATTGTTTTATAGGCTTTGATATTGAATACTATTCGTTATCTCCATAATATCCTTCACACTTACAAGTTAAAGGGGCGACTGGGGTTTTATTGTGTAAAAACTAAAATGGAGAAACTCGATCTTTAATTTTATATAATATATAACTAACATTGACTTCAGTGTACATGACAAGTTTAAGGAAAAGTTATCGCCCATGTATTTAAAGGGACCATCTCAATATACAGGTACATTTAATATTTGAATTATATGGAAAAGTGCAAATTTTATGCACTTTATAAATACTACAAGACTTTTGGCTTAAACTATAATATATAATGAGCAATACAATACTGCACATTATATATAAGAACCACAAACTTCTACCACCTTGTTTACAGAGGGGACATCAATGTACCTATTTGTAACAAACTAAATTATTCCCGTAGGATACCCCTATTGCGTGAATGTAACTATTGTTATTTATCCTGTGGGGAGCCCCTCGATTTGTAATTTTATCTACCTGTGAGCTCGTGTTCGGGTAGTACCCGGGAAGTCACAGCCGAGATAAGACCTGTTTGGCTTGTTGTTATGATGAAGTAGCCGGGGCGGGTACTCAAACTGCATCAGGTATTTGAAAATACAATTTGTAAATATGTTTCCTTGTTTGAATCTACACGTTTAGTATGATTGTTTTATTATATTTTTCCCCAGGGTCCTATTTCCTCGGGCTTTTGTCCCGTTTCGTAATTATCGGGTCTTGGGCGGGGTACTACAGCTAATTACATTGACAATAGCCAGTCGGCAGTCCAGGGTGACAGGGAGAGGCTTGCAATGTGTAATAGTTTTGCAGTAACAGTGGCAAATGTGTGAGAGGGTACGAGAGAGTGCGGCAGCCCTGACGGACACCTCGGGACCAGCAATTTAAAGTTTTGTGTTTATCTTGAATAACGAAATCACCTGTTTGAAATAATATATATCAATTCAAACCAAAGTTAATCCAGACGGCATTGTGAAAGTTTATAATGTGTTATATGTGTTCATGGTGAAATTATATTCGATTTGATTTGTGAGAGAAAGAAATACATTTACCAGAAGAAATTAAAAACCGGGACTCGAAATCATGAATAATTTACTACAGTAACTTTTTAAAGGACATTCTCCAGGACGTGCTGCTGATAGACATTTCATTTCAATTTTTTTTTATTTTTGTTTTTGTTGTAAAAATTTACTTTAATTTGTTTTGTTTATTAAATTTTGATAAAATTTTATTTTGCTTCGTTTCCTTCATTTATTCAAGTTCTTAAAGTGTACAACCCACATCTCAACACTATTAATTATAAAAATTGTTATAAAAATCATTTATTTAAAAAATTATTATAAAATTTTTCAACCGTAAAATCTTGAGTTTGTTTAGTTTGTTTTGTTTTATTAAGTACAATGTAAGTGAAGAAAAAATTTGCTTTAAAACAGTAAATACGCTACCTTGTTCAATGATGTGCGAAATATTACGCAATTGAAACCCCAGTCAAGCCTCTTAATTAGATAAATAAAATAACCCTGTTGATTACAGTTAATTCAGCAATTTATTAATAATTAAATTAAAATATTCTTAGCATTATGTTAGACCAAGAAAAGGTAAATGAATTCATTTTTCTATTCATTATACGCCCTGATCGATACAGTGTGATCCTGGGCGTATATAGTTTTTGCCCTGTCTGTTTTTTCTGCTGTCAACTTTAACCTTCATCAGACCTTTTAATTTGAAACATAGGAGATAAAGAATTCATATTTGGTATGCATACCCCACTGAGTAAGCTATTTCAAATGACACCTGGGATAAATACTCATTACTTTGACTGTGACCTATATGCCTAAAATATATTTCTTTCAACTTTCGCCATAACTTTTGAACCATAGAAGAAAGATCTCATATTTGGTAAGCAGATTCCACTAATTAATAATTTTGGTCGATGACTTTGTGAGCTTGACTGTGTTTTATATGCTAAAAACATCTTTTTCGAACTTTGTTGCCACCGGGCGCAAAGTTTCACAAACACGTCTTGATTTCATTGTCACAGTGATTTCTAATTATGACGAAAGAAAAAGTGAGCAAGCTCAGATACCCCACGTTCCCCCAAAACTCAGCTAGAGTGCTGAAAATCCCGGGAAAAATGAAAGAATCAGAATTTCACAGTAAAATGCACATTTACAAACTGTGTCCAAAATATCTGCAAAGTTTGATGAAATTCTGTGCAGTGGTTTATGAGGATTTGCGCTGACAAACTGTTCATCATTATATTCAAGATATCCCCAAAAATCCAAGTTGTAAAGTGCCGATATTCCCAGTATAATGAAGGATTCGGAATTTCCTGGTAAAATGCACATCTATACATTGTGTTCTAAATATCTGCAAAGTCTGACGAAATTCTGTGAAGCGGTTTATGGGGGGTCGCGCTGACAAAAAATGTTCATCTCTATATCCAAGGTATGGCCAAAAATCTATGTTGAAAAGTGTGGAAATTCTAAGAAAAAAGAAGGAATCTATCGGAATTTCCTGGTAATATGCACATCTACACATTGTGTCCTAAATATCTGTTAAGTTTGACGAAATTCTGTGCAGCGGTTTATGAGGAGTTGCGATGACAAACTGTTCATCTCTATATAAAAGGTATGGCCAAAGTTTTTAGTGCGGAAATTCCTGGAAAAAGGAAGGAATCGGAATTTCTTGGTAACATGGACATCTGAATATTGTGTCCTACATATCTTCAAAGTTTGACGAAATTCTGTGCTGCGGTTTATGAGGAGTTGCGCTGACAAAATGTATAAAAGGTATGACCAAAAATCTTCGTCTTTTGTGCGGAAATTCCCCGGAAAAATAGAGGAATCGGAATTTCCTGGTAATATGCACATCTGCATATTGTGTCCTAAATACCTGCAAAATTTGACGGAATTCTGTGCAGCAGTTTATGAGGAGTTGCTCTGACAAAAATAAACCATTTATTTGAAGTGTGTGTGTGTGCCGGGAGGGGGGGGGGTCTTGAATAATAGGGAAAAACTCTTATGGAAAAAAATTATGGAACCAGAATTTTTATGCAATATGCACAACTACATACTATGTTCTAATGAAATTATTTATTCAAGACAAAGCATTAATTTGAAGTGGGGGGGGGGGATTTTCTTGAATAGGCAAAACTCTTTGGGATAAAATAATGGAATATGTCCTAAATATCTGCACAGGTTGACGAAACTTTGTACAAAAGTTTAAGAGGAGTGGTTCCGACAAACTGTTCATCTCTATATTCAAGGTATGGCCAAAAAGTCTAATTTGGAAAGTGTGGAAATTCCCGGAAAAAAGGAATCGGAATTTCCTGGTAATATGCACATCTACACATTGTGTTCTAAATATCTGCAAAGTTTAACGAAATTATGTGCAGCGGTTTGCGAGGAGTACTAGTTAAGTTGACAAACTGGTCATTTCTATATATAAGGTATGGCCAAAAACCTAAGTTTTTAGTGTGGAAAATCCCGAAAAAAGTAAAAAGAAATCGGAATTTCCCGACCACATGCACATCTTCATATTGTGTCCTAAATATCTGCAAAGTTTGACGAAATTCTGTGCAGCAGTTTCTGAGGAGTTGCGCTGACAAACTGTTTATCTCTATATTCAAGGTATGGCCAAATGCCTAAGTAAAAAGTGCGGAAATCCCCGGAAAAAATAATGGAATCGGAATTTCCTGGTAATATGCACATCTACACATTGTGTCTAAAATACCTGCAAAGTTTGACGAAATTCTGTGCAGCGGTTTATGAGGAGTTGCACTGACAAAAAAAGAGGACTGACTGACTGACGGACAGGTCAAAAACATTATACTTCCCGCAACTAGTTGCGTTGGGTAGTTGGGTATAAAACTATTGTTTTTGAACAAGTTTTCCTGCGCAGGTAAGAGAGATACCCTATGTTAATTAACAAAAAACTAGGTAGTTTTAGGTTTTAGGGCTTCCTTAAATAATTTTTGAAATATAAAACATTATTTTCTTGAATCTATTAAGTACCTTGTCTGATGTCCATTGTTGGTAACAGTTTCAATAAGACTTCCTTTTCGTCTTCTGAAAAAGGAGTTCCAATACAATGTTTTATATTTATCCACATTCCAAATATTCAAAATTTTCTTAAATCAAATTTTCTAATCTTTCTCCCTCGTTTGGTTTTAACAAGATTTCACAATCCCCTTCCAAAAAAAAAGTTTCTTGTTTTATGAAAGTTATAAAATTAAATATTCTTTGAAAGTAAAATGAATTATGTAAGAAAGAAAAAAAAATCTTTATTCATGAGTGAAAAAATGTATTCAATTATCTTTTTTATAAATGCTATTATTTTCTTTTTATCTTTAATTAAAAAAATTTAAGAATCTTACATTCACACAGAAAATATCAAAAAAGATAGTATGCACTGTGGCAACGCACTTTGAAAAAATTACGCACTTTGAAAATTTTTTTCAAAGTGCGTAATTTTTGGGACAAAATCAACGCACTTTGAAAAAATTTTTCAAAGTGCGTTAAATTTGGGACCAACTCAACGCACTTTGAAAAATTTTTTCAAAGTGCGTTAAGAGTCTACATCAATATATTTTACCATGGAGACACTTAACGCACTTTGAAAAAAAAATCATATTTTTTGGAAAGATTTTATTTATTTATCTTTCAAAAAACTAAACCTAACCCTAACCTCAAAAGGGAATTGATTTACTCCCGTCGAAAAGAGGAGAAGAAGGGTATAAGATCCCTCAGACCAAATCTTTTTCTTTCCAATACATAGGTGTCGGTAACAAAACGGGGGAGGGGAGCAATAAACCTAGAAAGAGTACGCTGCATTTTCAATGTTTGTACGATGTATATATCTTTCCAAAATAAGTGGGGGGGGGGCTTAGCCCCCCTTCCCCTCCCCTGGCCCTTCGCCCAGTCTCGATGTCTATGCTATTCTCAAAGCATTCATATAATTATGTATTTACCTAACTGGTATAACGTTGAAAACTTTCAATAATTAATGAGTAAATTAAAACAGATGAAAACTATTATTTTTTAAGTACAGTAAAACGTATGAGAGAGAAAGAATTGTCATAGTTTTGAACAATCAAATTGGCCCCTTTTTATTATGATAAATGCTAAGTTGCTTGAAGCTGTCCTCTGTAAGTGCCCCCTACACACCTTTAACATCTACTTATCAAAGACTAGAATTAAAAAAAAAGAAGAAGAAACGAATTATTGAGCTTAAACAATCGTCACTCTTTTTTCAAGCCCGTTTAGTTTTCCCTTTTATTTTATCAAAACCTTAAATATTTAAAACGTCAATATCTCAGGTCCTACAGTGACTTTATCATAAAAAAGTTATTAAACCAGGATCTGTTATTTATCATACCAATTATTTGAAGGAATATTGATCAATCTTTACATTTTTTGAAAGTGCGTTAATATGCATGGTCCATATTAACGCACTTTGAAAAAAAAATATTTTTTTCAAAGTGCGTAAGCTTGGTCCCAAATTTTAACGCACTTTGAAAATTTTTTTCAAAGTGCGTAATTTTTCAAAGTGCGTTGTAACAATGCACAAACTGCAGTACCTATAACTTCAGCTTTTCCTTTTTCTTGTCTCAGTTTTCTTCTTCGTAAAACTATAAATACAGTCAAAAGTAGAAGAATAGCGACTAACACAACTGCCAGACTTCCCACGATTGCCCCAATTAATGCTGAGTTATTATCTGCCAATGTGGTTGTTTGAATAATCGTTTCTGTTATATTATACACGCCATTGTCTGTGGAGAATCCTTGGGTAACCAGTGTCTCTGCTGTGTCTTTGGTAATTGTATCCCATGTGCTAAACAAAAAATAAATATATACGTGTAAATATAGTTACAAGACAAGAACATTTTGCTGATTTGAATGATGAATATTAGTCACTTACGTATTTCCACAGGACGGATCAGCAAGATAACATTGATACTCTGTACTAATTCTTAAACAGGCGGGATCTAAATTAGAAGAATATTGAGTACATGTATTTAAATCTACATTAGTGTAAAATATGTGGAGTTTTTTAAGTTGAAGAATGCATATATGGGAATGAAAAATATTTATGAAGTTATATGCTTACATCTGTACATTTCGTTGATGTGGACTTCTGTATCTGGACAGCCCATTAGGAAATGTGAGCAGTTAGTTTCTGATAGTTTATCGCCAGTGGTCTCCAAACAATAACCTAAAACATACTTAGTGTCAATAACTTGACATATTGTGCATTTAATTGGTTGATGTGGTAGAATTTATATATCTCTTGTGTAATTGATTTAATTTATAGGCGAGAAAAAGGTTCCCTTAATCTATTATATTTAGTTTCGTCACTCTTTATAACTCATTCTAAACTCACACTCATGGCAGAGAACTTTTCGGCAATTCATTTCTATATATTTCATCAAATTCATTGTAATTAGTATTTTTTGATTTTTTTTTTTTTTTGACACTAATCTTAGAGTTCGACTCACTTTTGAAAACTTCAATTAACATTCACCATAACGTTTAAAAAATACATGTAAGCTCATGTATTATGCTAATGGTTGTTATTTTACTTGTGCATTCCTTCTCATATGATCTTCCTTTGGATACCAACGATTTTGACCTTTTGATTTTGAAGTTTGACATGCATGTGAGAAAGTTCAGTCCTTGAATAAGCTGTCATATTGGGAATCAGTTTCAAAAACGCAATTTATTAAATAACAACAAGAGGTCCATGGGCCACATCGCTCATCTGAGAAGCTTTGACCATTCTGTTCTTTTACCAGATTTCCCCCTTGTTATACATAATGCATCCCAACCCTACCCCACTGATCATAATTTAGACATTTTGAAATCTACATTACCCCATGATCCTTCCATGGGCACATATGTTTCAGCTTTTTTGGCCCAGTGGTTCTTGAGAAGATTTTCAAAGATTTTTCCTATATATTTCTATGTTAAACTTTGATTCCCTATAATGGCCCCGCCCTTTCCCCCGGGGTCATGATTCCTACAATTTAGAATTTACACTACCCCAGAGTGCTTCCACATAAGCTTCAATTTTTCTGGCCCAGTGGTTCTTGAGAAGAAGTTTTTCAAAAGATTTTTCCTATATATTTCTATATAAAACTTCGATTCCCCATTGTGACCCCGCTTTCCCCTGGAGGTCATTATTTGAACAATTTAGAATCTACATTATACCAGGATGCTTCCACATAAGTTTCAGCTTTTCTGGCCCAGTGGTTCTTGAGAAGATTTTTTAATGACCCAACCCTATTTTTGTCTTTTCTTGATTATCTCCCCTTGCGAGGGGATATGTCCCTTCATTTATACAATTTCAATTCCCCTTTAGCCAAGGATGCTTTTTACCAAGTTTGGCCCAGTGGTTCTTGAGAATAAGTCGAAAATTTGAAAAGTTGACAGACGGACAGACAGACGTACGGACGGACAACGGACAAACTGTGATCAGAAAAGCCCACTTGAGCCTTCGTCTCAGGTGAGCTAAAAATTAAATTTGATCACTCACCTCTCTCCAATATCCCCATGACTCCATCGTGACAGAATTCTACCAGACCCGTCTTTTTTGAGTTTGGGAGACATAAGTACTGATTGTTACCATACTTGTCTTTACCACAGCCCAGTCCAGCTGATGCTATCAATGTTTCTGTCAGGTTCTTTGGACAGGAGTCCACTATTCCAGTCATTGCTGTACTGAATTTAGTCACGAGCGAAACATTAAAAAAAGGTCCATCTTTAAGAGAAAGATTTACTTTTAAAGTTATTTTAACTCAAAATAAAATTGTGATGCGTAATTTGAGTGTAGGTTATATACTGTAAATCACTTTTTATTCGCGATTACTTCATTTTCGAGTATATAATTACGCGAGACAGTGTGCTCGCAAAAATAAGCAATAACCACAATTAGAGAAAATTTTGTCACGCTAATCAAGAGTCAATGGCTATCTCGCGAAAATAATATTTCGCGAACATTTAGTTATCTACACTACTAGTATGTTACAATAATATTTTTGAATGTTGTAGGCTATATATAAAAACTCTTTGAAAGTTATTGAAGAATACAGTATCTTTATAAGTGCTGGTATCAATTATAATAAATTTTGTCGTTTTTATTTAAGGACATTCACGTCAAGCTAATTTATTTTTCTTTGACATTATTTTTTTTTTAAAAATACTGTTGACAGTCAAGCGATGCTTCCTTTTACAAAATGTATAATATATATTATTTAGGAGGTCTGACAGGTGATACACTAAGATTATTTAAAAGTTGTATTTTGTACAAGGCCCCTTCCAAAGTTCACGTCAATGGGGCACCTGTAAGGGCATTAATCTCTATAATTAGACCCCAAATGAAGCATTAGGCTCAATAGTAAGGACACGTGCTAAGGCTTAGCCGCTATGGTTAGGGCACCTGTTCAGGCATAAGGCTCCATAGTGAGGGCATCTGCTAGAGCATATATTAGCCGCCATGATTAGGGCATCTGTTAGGGGATAAGGCTCCATAGTGAGGGCATCTGCTAGAGCATATATTAGCCGCCATGATTAGGGCATCTGTTAGGGGATAAGGCTCCATAGTGAGGGCATCTGCTAGAGCATATATTAGCCGCCATGATTAGGGCATCTGTTAGGGGATATGGATCCATAGTTAGGGCACCTGTTAATGCATTAGTTTCCATAGCTAGGGCACCAGTTAGGGAAATAAACTCCGAGTTTTATGGCCGCTGCCGTACCTCCGTTAGGTGTTTCTATAATTATTTTAAACCCTTTGGTAACTGTTAAACGCCATAATTGGGGTACTAATGATTTTCCAAGATTAGGGCTTTTCAAAAGAAAAACAATCTTTAATGTGACTTTTTCTCTGCAACAAAATATTTTAAGTTTTGTTTTAGACAACTTAGGTGTACTTCGAATGCATCTTCGCTAGCCAAGGGTTTTCGGTACGCCACTCTCCGGAGTACGCATATCAGGAACCCTTGGCTTAGCGAAGATGCATCAAATGCAAAGGATAAAAAGAATTTCAGTTTTGTGGGATCGGACATATGGTTAAAAAATTCTTTTTATTACATACCAAAGAAATTCAAATCTACATGCCATTAGGAAAAGAAAATCCATTACAGAGTATATATATAATTATGAATTTATATCCGCATTTTCTCATCATTTCGATCTTATGAGGGGAATGATTTTAAAAATATTTCAGCCACAGGCACTTGTTTCGTAAACAAGTTGGGGATACCCTGTATACGAAACAAGTGCAAATTCAAAGTACAGTGTACAAATATTTAATTTTTTCGCCATTTATCTATACGTTCTATGGAAAATCACTCATTTAAGGTTAAAACGAAAGTAGTTTTTTTTTAATATTATTTTAAAAAAATATTTTTCTTCAAATAAAAATTCAAATCTATGTTAGTAGTAACTGTATGTTTTACCTCGCGTTATTAACTCTCTACGAGTCTGAAATCAGGATCTTTGTTATCCATCATCTGACAGACATTCCTTTTTAAGGCGTCCCTTGGTGACCTTCACCTAGTGATTTAAATACCTTTTTTACCTAAAATAAGTTCAACGTACCCCATTTACGATATTTCCCGAATTGCTTTTTTTGGAAGGGGGGGGGGGGTAATATTCTTTACTATTATTTGACTCTATCTTATTAATCTTTATAAGCAAACATGAGATTTACATAGCGATACGAGGGCTGTTCAATAAATAATGTCCTGAACTATATGACATACATTACAGATATCGTATGACATTAAACTTGACTTTCTCTAATTATTGAATCTTTCGTAAATTTATAGCAGTTTATGTGACCACTTTTAATCACATAGTTTCATCATGAGAAGCTGGGAAACAAGGGCTTTTCGAGACACTGCATTATAAATAAATGGTAAAGAATCAGTAAACAAGAGTGAAAATAAAAGCTTCATTAAAGCTGCCGTAAAACTTGTTAAAAATTCCAAAGAAATATTAACTGAAATATGTGACATTTAGAGCAATCAATGCCTGTTTTATAGACAAAAGAGCAGGTGGATTTCAATGATTAAACATTTTATAATGGGCATCAAAATTGGGTACCCTCCTTGCCAACAAAAATTATAACAACTCATGTACTGTTCGCCAAATTTCAACAAATAATATTTGATGTTGTATGATTGACTTCAAGACACATTTATATAGCAAATTTGATAGACATCACATCGGGGGTTATTTACACTGTGGGCCAGTTTCATTTGTCACTGATCGGCGTACGCCGAATTGCGCCGGTCATATGACCGGCGTAAAACGGCTAAGAGGCAAATGAAGTAAACCGGCGAAAACATTTTTAAAAAATGAATAATTACGCTAAATGATCATCAATTAATTAAGTTTTATCATTTTTAACATTATGTCTTAGTTAGAATAATTCGATATTCAATTTAAATTAAAAACATGAACCTCATGAAAAATTTTATTTTTCAGAAAATAAAAACATATTTGAATTATATGAATACAGGTTTGCTCAAAATATGCAAACAAATAAAAAACATGTCGATCTGGTAAAAAGTATCTACATTTTCACAGTTGTTTTCTCTTCCCGCCATATTTCTAAGACCGGCGATATCCTCGCCGGTCATTTCAGAGGTAGGATTTCATTTGTAATACCGGCGTACGCCGAATGCGCCGCTTGACCTTTCGTAACCCGGTTTGTTACTTCATTTGACCGGGGAAGGTTCGCCGGCGTACGCCGAATGCGCCGGTCTATAATGACCGGCGAGGAAATCGCCGGTCTTAGAAATATGGCGGGAAGAGAAAACAATTGTGAAAATGCAGATACTTTTACCAAATCGATATGTTCTTTATTTGTTTGCATATTTTGAGCAAATCTCTATTCATATATTTAAAATTTGTTTTTATTTTCTGAAAAATAAAATTTTTCATGAGGTCCATGTTTTTTTTTTAATTGAATTTCGAATTATTCTACGAAGACATAATGTAAAAAGTGATAAAACTTAATTAATTGATTATCATTTAGCGTAATTATTCATTTTTAAAAAATGTTTTCGCCGGTTTAATTCAATTGCCTCTTAGCCGGTTTACGCCGGTCATATGACCGGCGCAATTCGGCGTGCGCCGATCGGTGACAAATGAAACTGGCCCAGACCGGCGCATTCGGCGTACGCCGGCGAACCTTCCCCGGTCAAATGAAGTAACAAGCCGGGTTACGAAAGGTCAAGCGGCGCATTCGGCGTACGCCGGTATGACAAATGAAATCCTACCTGTATTTAAGAAACGTTTGGCGGTAAAAAAGCTTGATACTCAAAGGTCACCCTATATTTTGAAAAATGAGTGAAAATGACAGTGTGTACGAAATTCTTCACCATTATTTTAAAATATCAGTAATTGTAGTTATCCACGTTTGTTTTATTTTCAAACAGATATTGGAACATGAATCTATCGCTTAAAACCCTCAAAACAAAATTTACCATAAAGATGTACTTGATTAAAAGGGCGAATGTATGAAAAGTGCTCAGGTATGCAAGAGCACAATGTAATTTTCTTAAACATTAGTGGTTATGTTGTTCAAAATCGTATTTGGAGAGACAGTTAAATTTCTGGAGGAGTCTAGAAAGCACTTTTTTGGCCAAAAAATCAAAAGGTTTATTAGAGGAAGGACCCAGAATCAGGAATCCACTACACTGAATTTCTTCAAGACAGCGTCCAAACCCGCATGCCCTGAAGAGTAAAGGGGTTTTCGGGATAAACAGAAAGTTAATGTTTTTTCACATTAACAATATTTGCAAGATCTTTGACCTCTTGACTTGTTTCAATTTCCAAACTTGGAAAAAATACCTTTTAGAAGGAAGAAAAAAGTCCGGAAAATCATTGGATCTGCCATTTTCCAGTATACTGAGGGACATACCCAAATATGAGTTCTACAAACGATCAGAAATTGGATAAAAAATGTTACGGACATGTATTTTACTTAAGAGATTAATTAATAAAATCATGAAGAATAAATAATTGAAAAGCGTCTTTTACTTCTTTCTGAGCACCGAGGACATTATTTATTGAACAGCCCTCCTATTTAACTTATTTTTTGAATAATTGCGAAGAAAATCTTGCATGAGCAGTGTATAGGCTCGGAATGGTCTGTTAAATTGGTTCAAACAACATTGAATCCCCTTTCTCGATCCTTTGTGGTATTTTGATTGAAATAATTATGGAGAAAACTCAGAAAAAGTCAAGAATAGGAAAAGTTTTCAGATGGACAACTGAAAAATGTGATCAGAAAACCTCACTTGAGCTTTCATCTCATCTGAATTAAAAATGATTTTTTTTTAAATTGGATATCCCTTCTAGAAGAGTAAATATGTTGCATACATGTACAAATGTGTGGTACATGTACTTAATTGTGATATAAATAATATTATTAATTACATCAAAAAATAAACACAATTTGTCTACGGACACCCAATCAATATATATACACCCTTGCTTTTCAAATGGGTGTGTAACAATGTATTTTCATTATCTATGATCAATAGTGCCCGGATTTTAACTCCAGAATCCCTGACCTAAGGACCAATATACATGTATAAATAATAAATTTCATGAAAAAAAATTTTGGTAGAGAGAGCAGTGTTTGGTGCAATCATGTAAACATGTTTAACTGCTTGATATCAAGAAAGGGAAAAATGATTTCTGAAAAGATTTTAATTTTGATGGTTTTAGTCCATCAACTTATCTTCCTCCCATAAATGTCATTCACCAAATTTGGATTAAACTGGTTCAGCTTTACCAGAGAAAAGGCTAAAAATAAATAAAAAATGCTCAAACATGAAAACAAACTATGATGGACAAGTACAGGTAGCAATGTTACTTAGGTGACTACAGGTGACCTAAAAATAGAAGGTTGAGTTATCCCCCTTGTCTACAGACAAACAATTTGCAAATAACATTCATTTTTATTTTGTAATGTAAATTGAAATAAATATGAGACCCAGCTAAACAAAAATAATATAGATGCTGAAAGGACGGCAAATGATTTCAAGATCTACAATATACATTTTCTTCAAAAAGACAGACTGTACATAATAAATCTACAAACAAAAAAAAGACATAGCACATATAAAATTTCATATGTATAGTTCTTTATCACAGTCACAGCTACAATACTTTTTACAGTCAAATGAAGTTACAAAGAGAGATTACTTTATTAAAACTATTCCAGTGGGAATGCACTACTTATTCATGTACACATGGGACGGAAGATGAGTTTGAATGCCCTCCAACTGTTTTAGAGGTTTATGTATACAAATCATTCATTTTTACTAACTATACTACTATGCAGTTTCAATAGTAATACATGCAAATGTACTATCATATAACCTACTTTTAGCCATATTTGTCTCTGTCATCGCTTACAAATTTTTAAAATGATATTTTTACCAGAGGAAGGAAAATATAATATGGCAGTACATGTACTAGTACATTCTTTGTCGCAATAATTCCAATTCCATTCTTTTCAAAGACATTATCTCACACCCAGTTGTTGAAGTCGCTCCTCATATAAAATGTTCTTTTCAAGAGCCTGCTTGTAGTTGTATTTTAAATCTTCTATTTCCTCAAAGAAATCAGGACCAAAGTTGGATAACTCCTTCTTTAGCTGAAAAATAAATATAATCAAAATATACTACAGTGTATATGTATTTAAAATTCTGAATGGAAACCAAACCCTTAATATGAGGCAATATTCTACTTGATTTTTTTGACCTTCAAAAATGCATTTGGCCATAACTGACTTTTAGCATGATGTGCTGACTTCTGTCAGCATTTCCAAAAATATAGGAAAAACATTCTTTTGTAGCATATTTAAGTGTCAGCCATTATAAATCATATGCAACCATACAAACACACCTAATTGTACTATACAAATATTGACAAAGGTGTAAGGCAACAGTAGATATGTTAGAGATGAAATATTGCCCGGTTGAAGAGAACATAAATTTAATATTTCCAGTCTACATTTATCTTTCTCTATCAAATGCTACTCACTCTCTCCATTTCCAGTCTATAATTATCTTTCTCTATCAAACACTACTCACTCTCTCCATTTCCAATCTATAATTATCTTTCTCTATCAAACACTACTCACTCTCTCCATTTCCAGTCTATAATTATCTTTCTCTATCAAACACTACTCACTCTCTCCATTTCCAGTCTATAATTATCTTTCTCTATCAAACACTACTCACTCTCTCCATTTCCAGTCTATAATTATCTTTCTCTATCTAACACTACTCACCCTCTCCATTTCCAGTCTATGATTACCTTCCTATATCAAACACTACTCACTCTCTCCATTTCCAGACTATAATAATCTTTCTCTAACAAACACTACTCACTCTCTCCATTTCCAGTCTATAATTATCTTTCTCTATCAAACACTACTTACTCTCTCCATTTCCAGTCTATAATTATCTTTCTCTATCAAACACTACTCACTCTCTCCATTTCCAGTCTATAATTATCTTT